TTGATTTTAATAAAGGAGCTCCTGGCTGACTTAGTCGCAACACTGTGTGACTCAGTCTTGGGGTTGTGAATTCAAGTCCTACTTTGGGTGTAGGTAGAGATTACTAAAAAAGATAAACTTAAAAAAAGAATTCCTGGTGGGCCTGTTCGGCAGGTTAAGCGTCTGACTTCAGCCCAACTTGTAATCTCATAGTTTGCGGGTGCAAGCCCTGCATTGGCTCTGTGCTGACATTGTGGAGCCTGCTTGGGATTCTCTTTCTCTCCCTCTGCCCTTCCCACACTTGCGCTTTCTCTCTCAAAATAAACAAACTTAAAAAGAATTGCTGTAAAGCTATAGTTACCAAGACACTGTGGTAGTGTCAAATGATAGATGTATAGCTTGAGGAGGTGAGCATCTTAGAGGGAGGATTGACTACAAAGGCACACCAGGGAACTTTTGAGGATGATGGAAATGTTCTATATCTTGGTTTTTGTGGTCATATGGATATAGACATTTGTCAAAAGTTGTCAACTCTGCATTTAAAATGTTGGGTGGATTTTATTGTATCTGAAGTGTACCCTAGGGCTGCCTGAGTGGCTCAGCAGGTTAAGCATCTGACTTCAGCTCAGGTCATGATCTCATAGTCCACGGATTAGAGCCCTGTGTCAGACTCTGTGCTGACAGCTCGGAGCCTGGAGCCTGCTTTGGAGTCTATGTCTCTTTCTCTTTCTGCCCTCCCCCATTTGTGCTCTCTCTCAAAAATAAACATTTAAAAAAAATTTTTAAATTTAGACCCTAATGTTGCATTTTTAAGAAGATCCATATTTCTAGGATAATTTTCCTGGTGGATTTCTCCAGTTTTGAGATGGGAATATATGAATTTTAAAATAGCTTCTTCCCATGGGGTGCCTGGGTGGCTCAGTTGGTTAAACGTCCGACTTGAGCTCAGGTCATGATCTCATGGTTCGTGGGTTCAAGCCCTGCATCAGGCTCTGTGCTGACAGCTAGCTCAGAGCCTGGAGCCTGTTTCAGATTCTGTGTCTCCCCCTCTCTCTCTAACCCTCCCCTGCTTACGCTGTCTCTCTCCCTCTCAGAAATAAAACATTAAAAAAAAAAAAAGTTTTAAAAAAGCTTCTTCCCAGAAGCTGGGTGGCTTAGTTGGTTAAGCATCTGACTTCTGCTCAGGGTCTCACAGTCTTGGGTTCAAGCCCCACGTGGGACTCTGCACTGACAGCATGGACATAGCCTGCTTGGGATTCTCTCTCCCCTCCTCCTCTGTCTCTCTCCTTCTCTCCTCTCCCCCTCCTCCTGTCTCTCCCTCTCCCTCTCCCCCCTCCTCTCCCTCTCCCCTCCCCTCTCTTCCCCTCTCTCCTCTCTTCCCCCCTCCTCCTCCTCCTCTCTCTCCCTCTCACCTCTCCTCTCTCCCTCTCCCTTACTCTCCTCTCTCTCCCCTCCTCTTCCCTCTCCCCCCCTCCTCTCCCCTCTCCCCCCTCCCTCTCCCCCTCCTTTGCCCATGCATTCTCTCTTTCAAAAATAAATAAATAAACATTAAGACTAAAGAAATAAAAGCCTTCCTCTACTTACTCTCTTTGGAACCTGACTAATATGTAGCAAGTATTAAGTAATTTTCAATGCATCATTCAATAAAATTTGAGATTTTACAAGCTAAATATTTTGAATGCTGATTTTCATAATAAACATTTTGGAAAGTCTCTTTTTTTTGTACATAATGTAATTCTTCAGAGTCATGTATTTAATACATTAGAATTTCCTTGTTTCCTGTTGACTTTTATTAAATTATGGCCATATGATGGCTTATATATATACTTTTCATTTTCAGATTATTTATCAAGTCTTTGGCTATCACCTTTTCTGGGGTCATTCTTAGATTTTTAGGTTTCATAGAATATTAAAATTTTTAGCTAATTTTGAGCGGTGTCTTAAATTTTCCAAAGTAAGCACTTATGAGAGAAAAAAATCACTGTTACCTATAGTCATCATTTTAATACCAAAAAAGTAGAAAAACGGTCACTTCTAGATAAAACAGTCTTTCTTAAGAAAATCACGACATATTGATTATTATGTGCTAGGCATTACACCTTGTATTTAAATATGTTATCTAATTTATTTTTCAAAATAGCCCTGTTACACTCATTTTACTAGAAAAGAATTTGAGGCTCAAACTTCCCTAGAACAAGATGTCTGATTTAATAGCCCATGCTCTTGACATTGCTCAGGCACTTTTATACTTTAGAACAATTAACAACCTAAAATGGTAGGGGTTTATAATTGAATATTTCTTGATAAAAATTTGTGACCAGGGGCGCCTGGGTGGCTTAGTTGGTTAAGTGTCTGACTTTGGCTCAGGTCATGGTCTAGTGGTCTCTGAGTTCGAGCCCAGCATCAGGCTCTGTGCTGACAGCCAGCTCAGAACCTGGACCCTCCTTCAGATTCTGTGTCTCTCTCTCTCTCTTTCTCTGCCCCTCTCTGCTCATACCCTGTCTCTGTCTCTCTCTCTCTTCTAAGAATAAACAAACATTAAAAAAAATTTTTTTTTTAATTTGCTACCATAGCTCTTTATTTGATAGTAGAACACAAGTTCACAGAGCATGTGTGGGCATTCATTTTTACTCACAGTTTTACAGAGATGATGAAAAATCTCTGGTAAAGAAACCACTTTTGGGTGCCTGGGTAGCTCAGTCCATTAAGCATGAACTGTTGGTTTCAGCTCAGGTCATGATCTCACAGTTTGAGAGTTTGAGTTCCACAAGGGGCTCTGTGCTGACAGCGCAGCACCTGCTTGATATTCTTTCTCCCTTTTTCTCTGGTCCTCCCCGGCTCGTTCGCGCGCTCTCTCTCTCTCTCTCCCCCTCAAACATAAATAAGCTTTTTTTTTTTCTTAAACCTTTTCAGTGTTCTTCGTTTGTTTTGGAATATTCTGGGTAAACTGATAAAATCCCATTGCTTCTGGTTTTTTCCAGTTTTTAACACCTTGTGCTGGTTAAGAAAGCTCAAGATGGCGGTATTCATCTAGGCAAGGGAGGGTGCAAAAGGGTAGACTCCATCCCCAGCTTTCACTGTTGTTGAAGACATGGTGTTTAGTGTTCTAATTTAATGACAGTTATCATTATAGTTTACATAAATCTGCACATACTTTGAAAATGTATGTCCATGTCAAGTTGCTTGCTTTTTTATAGGAATGGTTAAGACATTTGGAGATGTTTGTGCTAAAAAAAAAATACCTTGAAACTGTAGTTTGAATGACTTGCTAGCTCTGTACAACAGTGATTAAGTCTCTGAATTTCTGTCTCTTCATCTGTTAAAATTAATACTTAGTATATTTTTATTTGTCTACTCAAATGAGGCAGTATAAGTGAACTAGAAACTAAGGGACATTTCAGGTGGCTGCAAGCCAGTTGGGGTGTTTAGAGCAGGATAGTGTGGTTGATAGGATGTTGAACCTGAGTGGGGGTGGAGGAGGGACTGAGACTAGAGGGAGGTAGAGTAGAAGTGGAAATGATCAGAGGTGAGCTTGGGGACATTGAGAATGGACATTAAAAATGTAATTAGTCATTTTGGAGGGGGAAACAATATTTCTGGGTGACTGAGAAGAGAAGAAATCTCTGGTCTCTCAGATTAATTTTCAATAAACGTTTGACTGCCTGTTTTCCACAGTCTTGCTTGGCATTTAATATATACAGGCACAGACCAGTGAGGACCTGAAGGAGCTGGTAGTGTTTGGGGTCTGGGTAGGCTGCTGCCTGCATTCATGAACAGAGAATTTGGGACTGAGTGCTGATTTGGGTATTAAGTCAAGGTACTCACTTGAAAGCAAGTTGAGTCTGTGCCACAGATATGGGTACACAATATTACCATATAATTTTTATGTGGTTCTCATGTTATATAGTATATCAATATACTAAGTACTAATGGTTTATTTAGAACCATTAGACATCTGATAGCAAAGTTCTGTTAATGTTTGGAAAGATGACAATTTTAGGCATTCGGAAAGATTGTTTTTTCCTCCTAATAGTGCTAAGTTTGGTATTGTTTAACATTAAAAAACAAAAAAACACTAATGAAATTTAGGGCTTTCAGATAATTTGCATTCAGTCTTATATGGTGCTGTTTTTTTCAGAGGAAAAGCATTTCTGAATCTTATGTACATAAATTTGAGTATTCATTATAGGCTTATCAGTTCTAGTTACTGTCAGTGTTAAAAGGAGTTAAATAAAATTTAGCTGTAAACTGGGATAATGGATTTCTTTATTGTGCAGCAGTCTTCTCAAACTTCAGATTGCAACAAAATCATCTGGAGGGCATTTTAAATACAGGTTGCTGGGTGCCACCTCTTAGGTTCTGATTTAGTAAGTCAGGTGGGACTGAATATTTGCATTTCTAATAAGATGCTTATGTTAAAACCTACTGTTACATGGTAAGGAATAAAATTATCTTAGGAAACCACAATTTAGCTTTTAAAAAGCACTTTATAAATAGATTAAAAAATACATAATGCCTAAGAAATAAACTTAATTTTCATAATGATACAGCTCGAATCTAAATCCCCTCAGGACGTGGTAAATATAAAATTTCTTTTATAGTCTTTTCTAAAGGTTAATTGTTCATACTTATTTATTTAACACTAGAACAAATTAGCAGAATACCTTTAAAAATATATTAAAGACATTATAAACATTATTATTCTCTATTCACTATAGTTGATTATTTAGAGGAATTTGATACCTCTATATATGCACTCTGTTTATGCAGTACTTTTCTTTGAAGTTAAAAATCAAACTCCCAAGTTTTTGAAAATTTAATACTTGCCATGAAAAACCAAAAACACCCATACATTGAAAGCGGATGGTTTGGTTTTCCACTGCCCTTCACTTTGATCAGCCCTGTAGTTTCCTGAATTTCAAAAACTAAAACTATTGGAGATGAAATGTGACAATAGGGTTAATGTAGTATGTCAACCTAAATTAGTTTCAGTAATTTAAAAAAATCTTATATTTTTTTAGCTAATGGGAATGACAACAAGAAATTTAAAGGAGATAGACCTCCCTGTTCGCCTTCCCGTGTTCTCCATCTTCGCAAAATTCCAAGTGATGCCACCGAAGCAGAGGTCATATCATTAGGTCTACCATTTGGCAAAGTAACTAATCTTTTGATGTTGAAAGGAAAGAGCCAGGTATGTAATATTTAAAGATTGAACCATAGTGATTATCTCTGGGTACTAGTGTTAACGATGACTTTTATTTTCTTGAGCTTTTCTGTATTTTCTAAATTTCATTTCACTTACATAAATAAGGTTTTTAAATAGAATCTTTTTGTGTATGACAGCAACAAACAAAAATAATAACAGCATGTAGGATTATCTATTATTCAATGACTTGTCCTTTCCTTCCTGAACAAAATAATTTTATTATTTTTTATTATTTTTTTTTAAATTTTACATTCTTAATTACAAAATAGTTTATGAAAATACCCTATGATTAATCAGAAGACCAAGACAGAGAGAGGATATAAATCATACCTCATTGACAGTTAAAGAATAAGTTTTCCAAAATCTGTATAGAAATGTGTAGTATATTTTAGTTGTAGAATTAACATATAACTTCTTTAATAATTCGAAAGAGACTGTTAGAGGTTCTTCATTTCAAAAGTTAATAGGTTTTCTTAAGATGAATAAGGAAACTTGCTTTAATGGTGATGTGACAAAAATATAATATTTGTTATGTTGATTTAAGTAATCACCTACTTTTTTGTTCCAACTCAGACCCCATTAGGATGAATTCTTTAGTTTTTTCCCAGTTTTTGGTTGTCCTGAAAATCTTTTAAACTGAGCATTGCTGGTAAGAAGACGACAACAGATTTAGGCTCTAGATATCTGTAGTACATTGTGATAAGTCCCTATGTTCTTACACTTTAGTAAATAAGTTTAAGAAACATTAATATATTTATAAATAGATTGGTACGTATTAGAACATGAAAGAGATTATGATGTCTCATTCTGGCCCTTTAGTAAACTAACATTCCTATTTAATTCAGATGAGCTTATTTAAATCTGGAGAGGCTAAATAACATCTTTTAGTCTTCAGCTCTTTTGTGTTTATACATTTATCTTATGTCTTTTAGAAATCTTACATGTGCCTGGATCTTTATTTTAACTCAGTTGCCACTATTGAGAATATATAGTTTGGGTGGTTTAAAAAGAGCCAACATAGCCAAGTCTAATGATGTATTAGAGATGTATCGGATATATGTGTCATGTATATTATCATGTTTCATATAGTGTGTCCTGTACATTCTGTTAGATGGTTGGAAGGGGCAGCAGGCAGCGTCACAATTTGTTTTTGTCTCTGCTATCAGTTCTGGGTTTATTATTTATCTGTAGTGCTGTTATGTTAACTGCTTATCTTTTGATCATAAATCATGTTTAGAAAATATTTTGTTAGTAATATACTTTAGCAAGAGAGTGTGATGTGAGTCAGAACTATGCGTAGCCGTAATCTTTCTAATGGTGCTTAGAGGTGGAGTGTTGAGGGCAGCATGGGGAATATTTTCACCAGCCATTCTGTGGTTAGTGACTTTTGGGGTTTTTTCCCACCTCTTATTATGAAAATTGATTTCTTTGGATACTTTGGAAACACCTAAATAATTTTTTTTACTGGGCTCCATGTGGAAAAAATATTTTTATGTATGAATTTTAAGTTATATATACTTTCAGGAAAAATTTTGCATAACAACAATCATGTATTCCAAAGTTGATGTTTAGCTTTTCCTTTGTGTAATTAATGTTAGACATTGAGTTTAGTTCTTTACATTTATGAAGGAGTTTTCAGAAAGATACTCTTCCTCTGTACAGTAAATATTATTAGCAAACAGTCACACATTCTTTGTTGAAAACGTGGTTAAAAATCAGATTAGTATTGCTTTTTGGTTAGCTTGATCGTTTTTATCCTCTTAGAAAAAGTAGTAAAAGCACATTACTGATACAGATAGTAGTTTAAAATATTTTTTATATAGTTTATTTATTTCTGAGACAGAGAGAGACAGAGCATGAGTGGGGGAGGGGCAGAGAGAGAGGGAGACACAGAATCTGAAACAGACTCCAGGCTCTGAACTGTCAGCACAGAGCCCAACGCAGGGCTCGAACCCATGAATCGTGAGATCATGACCTGAGCTGAAGTCGGATGCTTAACCTACTGAGCCACCCAAGCGCCCCCCAGATAGTGGTTTTATTTTTTTAATTTATTTATTTTTTAATTTTTATTTTTTATTATTATTTTTTATTTTTATTTTTTTACAAATAGTTTATTGTCAAATTAGTTTCCACATAACCAGATAGTGGTTTTAAAGTGCATTTCTTGAAGATAGCAGAATTTTGTTTGTTTATTGAGGATCAATTAATTAATGATATTTGATCCATTGTGATGTGGCTAATATTACTACTTCATAGAATATTGTTAGTTCTGTTAAATCATTTAATTGGTTCAGTTGTGACATTTGATTGATACACATTTAACATTTGTCAAGTTAATATTCCTTAACTGGGATATTTGCCAAATAGAAACACTTATTAAGATAACTATAAACAAATAAATAGTTTGACTTACGGATATTTGCCATTTCCTCTGTTTAGGAAATTTTGTTAATAAATGCATATCTTTATAAATAAATTGTAAATGTTTATATGTAATTTGAAGTGGTTACCATACATGTGCTAATCACCTGCTCTGTTGCGGTAAAAAAAGAATTGAATTATCGAATTAGAAATTTGCACAGATTTGGATCAGGAATTCTTCTTGCATTTTAAATTTGAGATGTTCATTATAGGTAGTTCTGAGGACTTAGAATGGTTAGTATTTCATCTTTGTAACTAACCATTGAGATAGGGTGGCAGAACCTTTCATGGAAGTTTCAGGAGTTCTGACGGCTAAAAGAAGCCATGTATAGAATAAGACTTAGATCCCAAGGAGCCTTTTCTGATCTCAGCTCTTACTATTATTTTTCAAAAATCTACTACTTGTACAATAATCACAGATGTTAAAAGATGAATTTGGTTGCGTAAATTTTAAAGATTTTATTGGCTTTATTCAGGGATTCATGAATCGGGCAGCATCCCATCTAGCAGGTAGAAAGGAGCTGTGAAGAGCAGTGCAAAATGAAAGACTTATAGGCAGCATAGGGTGGGTGGGACCAGGAAGTTACTAGCAGAGTGAATTGTTTGAGGCAAGATCATCTTCCTTTAGGGAATGGTGGAGGTCTGTCATGAAGATAACCTCACTAGTGCTGACCAAGTAATTCCAGATGAACTGGTTTAAGATTTTAATCTTGGGAGAAGTTGAAACTGTAATTGTTGGGTATTTAACTCTTGGTTTGGTGACGTGGGCTTAATACACATAACTTCATTTTAGGCTTGACGTCTCTGTATTTTTTAACACCTCAAAAAGAGTCACTTGAATGATTCGAATCAATATTAGCTTAATGTTGGAAAGAAGTTTTCCCATTTCCCTAACTTGAACAATTGAGCCTTTACACCTGAATGCTGGTTTTATTGTATAATAAACTTAAGTGTATCATAAATAGCTATTTGCTTAAAAGGTAAAAGAGAGCAAATCATTATGCCCCATCTTTGAGAAGTTTATATTTAGGAAAGAACTGTTAAATTCCAACACCTGAAAGCATCCATTTACAGTGCTGATGCTCACCTTTATTTTTTTGCTTTTTTAATTATTTCTAGATTTTAGAAGAAAAAGAAAAAAGAGGAAAACCAAAAACCATATGAAATCATTTATTCAACTGGCAATTTCCCAATCCCAAATCCTTTATTGAACCCAACTTTTCATATGTGTTTTCATTCAGCATCAGTGGTACACTTTGAAGCAAAAGTCTTTTCATAGTTCTTAGCTGTTTTTCAAAAACATGAGCTTTCACTTTACTTTCTTGTGTTTATTGCAGGCTTTCTTAGAAATGGCTTCTGAGGAAGCTGCTGTTACTATGGTGAATTACTACACTCCCGTTACTCCTCACCTTCGAAGCCAGCCTGTTTTTATTCAGTATTCCAATCACAGAGAACTTAAGACTGACAATCTACCTAATCAAGCTGTAAGTACTAAAGGCTTTTTAAAAATTAGCTATACCACATGGTATAATAGCTTAAAATTAATTTTTTATTTCTCAGAGGGAAAAAAAGTCATGTTACTTTCTTCATGTTAGAATGCTTTATTAGTAAAGATTCTGTATATAAATTCTTACCTGAAGGCTTAAGTAGTGCCATTTTAGCATTTCACTGCAAAAATGGCAGATAATTTAGTTTTCTAAAGAGAAAAAACTTACATTCTTATGTATCTCTTAAAATTTCAGGCCTAAAAGGAAGTTTTTACAGAATACACAGAGTATGTAACAAAGGCATTAAGAATTTCAGTGAAGCTTCTATTATGATGTTAACATTTAAGATGTTAATAAGAATTTGTATGGATATGTTCATTAGATGATTTTTGACTCTTCTAGGTGAATGCGGAATGTAGAATATCAACATCTCTAACCTCATTTTTCAGTTTTTATTTTGATATAGCTCATATTGACTCTTTTTTGTCTCTCTAGCTTGATTTGTAGTAGCTAAAATAGTAATTTGAAATTACTTAAGGGTAAGAAAAATTGATCCACAAAAGCAAGAAAGAGGTTTTTTACTATGTTTTGAGCATGTTTGGCCCCTATACTCTTGCCCTAGGCAAAAGAACTCCTCCAGCTCTTTGATTCTTTGTTGAAAGTCATTATAGTGCAAGCTACTGAATTTAAATTACAGTTTTCCACATTTTTAAAACAGTGACTTTTCCTGTGCATAATCGTTAGCTTGTTCTAAGAGCTATCGTAGCATATAATAACCTATATAAACTTAGTGAGATGTTAGATGTTACAGTATTTTTAAATAGTGTAAACTCTTTTAAATGAAAAATTGACTTACAAATTCTAAGTAGCGTCTATTCTCATGGTAAAACATTCAAACGGTCCAGAAAAGTGAAAATGACAACAACACCACCAACAAACAGTTGTCCAGAAACAGCTAATTAACATCTGCTAACAGTTTGGTGTGTACCCTTTCTCTATCCAGGTGGATTATTATCTGTGTATATAATTTTACATCAGTGAAATCCTAGTGTTTTGAAAGCTATTATTTTTTTCTCTGTAATGTGTCATGGATATTGTTTCATGGCTATAAAGGCAGAATTACTTCATAATTTTTAAATGATACTCTCTTCTATAAGACCACCATAATCTATCCAGTGTCTTAATAGACATTCAGATTGTTTCCAATTTTATACTTTTTAGAAATAGAACTGTAGCAGCATTCTTACATATCTTAGCACACTTGCAACATTTTCTTATTAACATTTGTGCCAGTGAAATTGCTGGGACTCAGCATATGCATATTTTATATTTTGATATGTTACACGATTGCTTTTTTTTAATGTTTATTTTTGAGAAAGAGTGTGGGTTTGTGTGCAGGTGGGGGAGGGGCAGAGAGACAGGGAGACAGAGGATCCCAAGCGGGCTCCATGCTGACAGCAGAGAACCCAATGCGGGGCTTGAACCCATGAACAGTAAGATCAGGACCTGAGCCTAAGTTGGATGCTTAACTGGCTGAGCCACCCAGGTACCCCACATGATTGTTTTTTAAAAAGCGTATGTGCCAGCTTCGGGTGCCACTGAAATGTGTAAGCAAGCAGTTTTCCTGTCATCTTTGTTAGGTGATGAAATCACATCTTATTTTTTACTTAATATTTATTTGATAACTTATAAAGTCGAGTGATTTCTGTTGATGCAGTTTTTTCCCCATTTTTAAAACCGTGGTGAAATATATATAAAATTTACTATTTTGACCATTTATAAGTGCTGAGCAGCATTAGGTACATTCACATGTGCAACCCATCACCACCATCTGTCTCCAGAATTCTTTCACCTTGGAGCACCAGGTTATGGTCTCATAGTGTGTAAGATTAGGCCCCCGCATCCAGCTCTGCACTGACAGTGAGAGCCTGTTTGGGATCTCTCTCACTCTCCTCCCCCTTCCTTCTCTCTGTCTGTCTGTCTGTCTCTCCCTCTATCTCTCTCTTTCTCAATAAATAAACTTTAATTTTTTAATGTTTTATTTATTTTTGAGAGAGAGAGACCCTGTGAGCAGGAGAGGGACAGGGAGAGAGGGAGACACAGAATTTGAAGACAAATTCCAGGCTCTGAGCTAGCTGTCAGCATAGAGCCCGATGTGGTGCTCAAACCCACAAACTATGAGATCATGACCTGAGCTGAAGTCGGATGCGTAACCGACTGAGCCACCCAGGTGCCCCTCAATAAATAAACTTTAAAAAAAATTAAAAAAATTATTTCACCTTCCCAAATTGAAACTCTGTACCCTAAACACTAATTCTTCATTCCCCTGTCCCCCTAGCCTCTGGCAACCACAGTCTACTTTCTATCTCTGTGAGTTTTGTCTACTAATGCAGTTTCAAAAATATTTTTACATAGTAGTCAAATCTCTTAAGATTGTATTATGGTTTCTGATTTTGATACCATGTTCATAAGGACCTAACATAGCAACATCAAAAAAATTGGTTTTTATCTGTGTTTTCTTCTCATATTTTTGTTTTAGTTTTTATTTTAATGTTTAATTTTTTTTTTTTTTACTAGAAATATTTTGGCGGTAGAGAGTAGTCTTTGAGGGTAGGCTTTGATCTCTTTTTTAACTCCCAGTGACCAGTTTCTCCTCTGTTAATTTTTTTGAATAACCCATTTATTATCCACTCATGTGAAACTTGTCCTTTGTCATGTTCTAGTTTTCTGTACACTTGCGTGCCTACTTAAAAGCACACATGTATACCCTTCCTGGACATGCATACACATTCTATTTGCATGGCCCTGATATACCCTCTTGTATGTGCTACTCACATGGTGTGCATTCCATGTCTAATCCAGACTACCATTTGAATTCGATTTTGTTCCATTCCTGTTTTCATGTCTCCAGGGCTAATGTCTCCAGCATTAATATTTTGTAGGGCAAAGCCCTCTTCTTTACTCTCTTTTCAGACATTAACTAGTTACTGTATTTTACCTCTCCATATATAATAGAATTATTTAGATAACTCCTACCCCCCCAAAAAAACAAATTGGAATTGGGTTGATTTTATAAATTAATTTGAGAAAATTAACATACTTATATTGCTCTATGATTCTTTTGTCTCCTGTCTTTCACTAGAGTTTTAAATTTTCATTCATGTAAGTTATTGCAGTTTTCTTACCAGTGTGATTCCTAAATATGTTAGAATAAGTCTTGAAAAAGAAATAGCAATTTAATAAAACTCTTAAAGACTGGATTATTCTAAAGGGAAACCGTGAGGAATCCCAGTTGCTTGGCAACCAAAGCCAGCCGAAATGACCTAGTTTATTCTTCGATAGCCTTGATTTCTTCCTAGTGCCCTTTCCATTTTGTTACTTTTGTGCAATTTTTATGCATTGATGTTTGATAAAATATAATAGTTTTTCTTTTATTCAAAGTCCTACACCAGTATTGAAGTCAGAATTGAAGGTACTTGTTTGCATATATAAAATGTACCAAAGGTCTTTTTTTTTTTCTGACTGCCCCATGAAACTAATAAATTACTATTTCATTATCTTTTATACTCTGACTAGCAAGGTACCCCAAAACATGCACATAACTTCTTTTCCACCCTATGGACATACTTGCCAGAGGGTCAGGTGAATATCAAATATTTTTTTAACTTTTTTATTTATGAGAGAGAGAGAGAGAGAGAACACAAGCAGTGGAGAAGGGCAAAGGGAAAGAGAGAGATAATCTTAAGCAAGGTTTGCTCCCTGCACAGAGCTCAGCCTGGGATCATGACCTGAGCTGAAATCAAGAGTCAACTGCTCAACCAATGGAGGAGCCCCTCAGATATCTGTATCCTTTTATTTAAACTAAAATTATAGTTGGGATGCCTGGGTAGCTCAGTTGGTTAAGCAACCAACTCTTGGTTTTGGTTCAGGTCATGATCTCATGATTTAGTGAGTTCATGCCCCACATTGGGCTCCACGCTGGCAGTGCAGAGCCTGCTTGAGATTCTCTCTCTGCCCCTCGCCCACTTGTGCTTTCTCTGTCTCTCTCAAAATAAATAAGCTTAAAAAATTTGTAAACTAAAACTATAGCTAAAAACTTTAGATGATAATTTGAGGTACAGCATTTGGGAAATGGTTTTCTTAATAACCATCATTAGGGTGTAGACAGTTTTGTTTTTACCCTGTGAATGGACATTTATAAATCTGCAGAGATAACTGGAAAGATTTTGCCTAAAAATGTTTTCTTAAAAAATCAGCAAACCCTACACTTAAGATCCGTGCATTTTATTGTACATTCATTTCTATCTCCATTTTAGAAATGTCTATTTTACATTATCCAGGCATGTTTAAATTTTATGTGAAGCCGGGGTGCCTGGGTGGCTCAAGTCGTTTGGGCGTGACTTCCGCTCAGGTCATGATCTTGCGGTTCGTGGGTTCCAGCCCCGCATTGGGCTCTGTGCTGACAGCTGGCTCAGAGCCTGGAGCCTGTTTTGGATTCTGTGTCTCCCTCTCTCTCTGACCCTCCCCTGCGCGCGCGCGCGCGCTCTCTCTCTCTCTCTCAGAAATAAATAAAACGGGGGCGCCTGGGTGGCTTAGTCGGTTAAGCGTCCGACTTTCGCTTAGGTCATGATCTCGCGGTTCTTGGGTTCGAGCCCCGCGTTTGGCTCGGGCTCTGTGCTGACAGCCAGCTCAGAGCCTGGAGCCTGTTTCAGAGTCTGTCACTCCCTCTCTCTCTGACCCTCCCCTGCTCACGCTGTCTCTCTCTCTCCTAGAAATAAATAAAACATTTAAAAAAAAAAAGAAATAAAACGTTAAAAAAATAATAATAAATTTTATATGAGATCTGTTTGTCTTTCCCCCACCTTGATAAAATATTCGCATTTCCAGTCATGCTACTGCTGTTTCCTTTATTAAGTTATTACAACTATTCCAGAGAGTTTGTTTATAAAACATTTAAAAAATTATCTCCCATAGGAGGAATTCTACTGCCTCATAATTTTTAGCATCAAATACACAGAACATAAATCTTCTATGTGAAATAATCTCTTTATATTAAGAAAACATTTCACATTCTTCCCTACCCCTGACTTTTCTGTTGCCCTCTGTGGAGAGTATGCCTCAGTTTTATTTTTTTACCTGAATGTTTTGCCTAATTAGAAATTGAAACTATAGTGTTACTTATTAAATAAATCTATCTTCTTTTCAGGTGTTATTTTCTCAGATTTTTATTGTCAAAAGCATTTCTTGCATGCCTGCTCCTCAGAGACCTTTGTACTCAGTGCTCTGTGAAATACTAATTCTACTAATGCAGAATATATGGAGAATTGTAGAATGATTAAGACAGTATATACCATGGCTTCTCATATTTCTCCACTGTGGTATTCCATATGCCAAAGAGGAAGAGTGAAGAAGAGGAGCTATAATAAAAAGAGTAATATCAGTAGCAGGAAGCATATATTTAGAATTGTTTAATAAGAGGGATTGGTAGAATGATTGATGGCATAATGAAGTAAAGTCAGCAAGGTTAAGTTTCCTTTTGGTTGTGTAGGCTTAGTTTTGTTAAGATTAAATCACCCTGATCTAAGAGAAAAAAGAACCGTTATTCCACTTAGAACCTCTCTATGATGAAGTCTTTGCCTAGATGTTCTACAGTTATATTCAGTATGGTAGCTGCTAACTACATGTGGCCAACTTTAAATAAATTTAAAAATGAAAAATTTAAGGGCACCTGGCTGGCCCAGTAGGAAGAGCATACACCTCTTGATCTTGGGGTCATGAGTTTGAGTCCCACATGTTCTCGTCTGCTAATTCTACCTTCTGGGTCTTTTTTAAATTATTATGATTAATTGACCCCACCCTCTCCTAATTATAGGCTCAAAGTGGAAGTATGAATCAGTTTTCAAACTTGAAAGCAGTAGAACCCATTTTCCAAATAAACTCTTACTGAGGATCCCAGTGTAAAATACATGAGATAAACTCTGCTTTTGAAGCAGGATTGGGATGCTCAGTATTCCATACACATGGCTGTTTTAGAAGAGCATAGTTTTGAAAACAAATGATATAAAACTTTCAAATAATTATTCATACATTGTTCTCAAAGATGATGATGTGTTTGGAAACTGAATGTTGGGTGCTTTGAACATTACATGTTACATAAAAATCTATATGGCTTTAAAATGCTGTTAAAAGGTATTAAAAAAAAGAGATGCATATAAGCATAAAAGTGAAAGTTGTTGCAGGGCACCTGGGTGACTCAGTGGGTTAAGTGTCCAACTCTTGGTTTCAGCTCAGGTCATGATCTCACAGTTCATGGGTTCAAGATCTTCATCAGGCTTTGCGCTGCTGGTGCGTAGAGCCTGCTTAGGATTCTCTCTCTCCTTCTACCTCATTCTCTCTCCTCAAAATAAATAAATTTTTAAAAAGTGGAAGTTCATCTATTAAGCATACACAAAGTTAAAAGATAGTTTTCAGAAAGATACTTCTTTTAATGTTATTTATCATAGCATAATGTCTCACATCAGAGAGACGATATAATAAACTAAAAATTAAAGTCATGAAAACAAAACTCAAGAAATGTTAATTTAAAATAACATACAGAGTACTGTGATCATTAAAATTGGAAGTGACTACAATATGTAAAAAACTGGTGAGATTTTTTTTTCATTTTATGGCACAAACTATCACCATTCTTAAGGAATGACAAGAATGGAACAAAGAGATTGTTGAAAATTTGCATTTAATTTCATTAATCATTAACCATGCTTTTTTTCCCTTCAATTTTTCCTTCTTTCACCCACTTCATTTTTAAATTATGGTTTTAAGTTTTGAGATAGTCACAAAATTGGGAAAGAGTTGCAGATATAATACAAGTTTTGATTTCTTCAGGCATTTATGAATAAGTTGCTTACCTGCTCTGTCTTCATTGTCCAGTACTTCAGTGTGCATTTTCTAGAAGCAAGGACATTCTCCTACACAACCAAAATATAGAGGTTAAAATTAGGAAATTGACATTCAGTCCTCAGTCCCCATTCAAGTTTTGCCCGTCATCCCAATAATGTTTGTTAGAGTAAAACAAACATTATTTAAAATCACATGTTTTGTTTAGAAGTTATGTCTTTTAGTGTTCTTTAGTCTGAAACAGTTCCTCAGGTTTTGACTCCCTTGACCTTGATTTGACACTTTAGATAATTATAGGCAGACTATCTTTTGTATTTCCCTGAATTTGAGTTTATCTGGTATTGCCTTGTGATTGCATTCAGTATACATAGTTTTGACAGGAACATCATAGAAGCGATGTCCTTTTTTTCTCATTGCATATCAGGTGGCACATAATTTCAGTTTGTTGCATTACTGATGTTGTGCTCTTGAGTTCCTGGATGAGGCTTATGTTTGGCCTCTCCACTGTGAAGTCATGGCTTACAAAGGGGGAAAGAGGAGTGTATTAGGGGAAGATATTTAAGGCAGTATACATATACTTCTCCTTATTAACTGTCAGTGTATATCAGTATGAACTTAACGTTTCCTGTTTTATTTGATGGGTTATTATTTGTTAAAATCACTATTTTGATTGTCAAACTGTCCTATATTTGGCCAGTAGGAGCCCCTTCAGGAAGCTATCTTCTGTCTTTTGGCATGTTTCCATAAATCTTTGAACACTTCTTTGCATTCTAGTAAAAACAAACAAAACCAAATAAACAAAAAAGTTGCTCATTTTGTACTTTCTTTGCTCCAGCTCTGGAACTAGACCTGTTTTAGGACACTCTGGGTTTTTTTTAGTGGCACATGCTATTTAGAAACTTGAATGCCGAATGAAATCTTGGCATTTGCAACAATATGGATCTACCTAGTAGGTGTTAGGCTAAGTGAAATAAATCAGACAGAGAAAGACAAATAAGTGATTTACTTATATGTGGTATCTAGAAAATAAATGAAAAACAAAAAACAGATTTTTAAATACAGAGAGCAAACTAATAGGTGCCACGTGGGGATGTAGTTAGATGGGGTTGGTAAAATAGGTGAAGGTGTTAAGAAGTACAGACCCCCAGTTATAAAATAAATAAGTCATGTAGATGAGAAGTACTGCATAGGAAATATAGTCAATAATATTGTACTAGTGTTGTGCAGTGGCAGATGGTGACTCACTTGTGGTATTGAGTAATATATAGAATTGCCAAATCACTATGTTGTACACTGGAAACTAATATACCATTATATGTCAACTATAATTTAATAACAATAATAAAAATAGACCTTTCCAGGAGTCTGATAGAAGTGGGGTTCAGAATTGTATTTGAGATATTTTCAGATTTTCATCAAGCAGTTTGTATTTAAGTGCACTGTTTACAGTCTTCTGTGTGACTCAGATAAATCAAATCATTTAACCCATCCTAGACTCAGTTTTCTCATCTGAAAAGAATACAATACATACCTCATAAATTGTTGTGAGAAGTAAAGAGAGATTTGTACAGTGAATGCATAGAATGATACCTATAATTAGTGCTCCATAAAAGTTCTATTACAAATACATATTATTGTTTTCTTGCTAAATAAAAAGAAAAACTTGTCTGCCTACCCCTGCTTGGGTTCTTCCACCCTGTTTTAGGCTGCCCTGCCATTGAATTACCTCCTTACCTCAGTCAGGCCCTCAGGGACCTCCTCTTCACCCCACTTGGACTGTCTCCACTCCATTGGTTCACACCATGTGGATGCTTTCCTAATTCTTTTTGGGCTTTGGCACTCCTGCCAGGCTAGTCTCTTCTGGATGCCTAAGTTCTTATCCTTTTCGTATTCCTCAGGTTCTGATGTCTAACAGTGAGCCACTCTCACACTAGATACCTTTCTTGCCTTGTCTGGGCACAGGTTCCCCTTGCCAGGCACCCTGCCATGCAGTGCTGTCCTCACATTGCTCAGGCTCTGATGCTCATGCCAGGATGTCTTCCTGTAGGGATGCATTCCCAACCCTTTCTGAACCCCACAGCTCCATATTTGCATTTATCATGTTCCACCCAAAGGTTTAGAACTCAGTGGGTCAGGGAGGGAAAAAGAAGAGGGATTTAAGTGGTTTTTAAGTCATCTTTAATCTTACTTTCACATTGGTTTTTTTTTTTTCCTGTTACTTAAAAATTAGGAAATAAAAATCATCCCCACATTTTCTTCTTTTTTTGCCATGTGTTTTTTTTTTCATTTCTTCACGTAACTTTATTGTTCTTAAATATTGTGTCGTCATAAGAAAGCAAGTCTTTTGAATCTTAACTGATTACAAATTTAGGATATGTGCATCTAGAGAAAGTAGATATGTATTTTTTTCTGATTTTTGGATTGTTTTATAGAGAGCCCAAGCTGCACTGCAGGCTGTCAGTGCTGTCCATTCGGGAAGTCTGGCCCTTCCTGGAGCTCCTACTAATGAAGGCACGGTTCTACCTGGGCAGAGCCCTGTGCTCCGAATAATTATTGAAAACCTCTTTTACCCTGTTACTCTGGAAGTTCTTCATCAGGTAAAGTGGAGCAGTACTCTTATGAGGCCAATGTGACCTCTGTAACTTTTAATATTTTCTATCTTTACTCTTTTTTATTTTGGTTATTGATTTTGGTTGGTATATATGTTTAAGTAATAATAATAATAAACCTTCAGCATCCTGTTTTTTATGTAAGAAATAGTATCAACTAGAGATAATTTTTTAAATGTTTAAGAGAGAGAGAGCGCGCATAAGTGGGGGAGGGACAGAGAGAGAGGGAGACACAGAATCTCAGGCAGACTCTAGGCACTAGGCTGTCAGCAGAAGCTGACTCAGGGTCCAGAGTCATGAACCATGATATCAAGACCTGAGCCGAAGTCAGACACTCAATCGACTGAGCCACCTAGACACCCAGAGATAATTTTTCTGTAGCTTTCTTTTTCTAACTTAAATACTTGATTTAAAAGGATATGTAAGAAATTTCTCTTTTTTTTTTTTTTTTTTTAAATACATAAGCATGAAAATGAACAAAGCATAGAATCCTATTAAAAACACACTGATAGGGGCGCCTAGGTGGCTCAGTTGGTTAAACATCCAACTTCAGTTCAGGTCATGATCTCACAATCCGTGAGTTCGAGTCCGGCATCAGATTCTTTGCTGACAGCTCAGAGCCTGGAGCCTTCTTCGGATTCTGTGTCTCCCTCTCTCTCTGCCCCTCCCTGACTCATGCTCTGTCTCTATCTCTAAAAACTGAATAAACATTAAAACAAAAAATTTTTTTTAAATAAAAGCACACTGATAGTTATTTCTATTGGTTCTTTCTTACATTTGAGTATTTTCATTTTAAAAACTCTGAAAGTGTGATAACTCTTCATTTGTAAAATGAAAGTATCATGTTAAATATTGATTGATGGTCAACATTATTTTCATAGACTGCCCATTAATATGTCCAAACTATTGTGATAAAAGGCATTCCACCAAATCATGACCTATTATGAGAGTATCGAATTTAAGAACTGGAAGGTAACTAAGTTATATAATTTTGTGGTGAGTAAAACTGAGACTCAGATAATTGATTAAATACCGTAGAGAGTAATTGAAGAGACAGTTAGAACTCAAGCCTCCTAATATGAAGTCCAGTGTGGTGTTTTGTATGCTTGTTTATATATATGTTTGTATGCTTTGTGTGTGTGTGTTTGTGTGTGTGTATGTGTAAAGTTTTCATTTATTTTTGAGAGAGCGCACATGCACACAATTTGGGGAGGGGCGAGAGAGAAGGTGACAGAACTCCGCTGCTTAACCAACTGAGCCATGCAGGCACCCCTGCCTGTTATATGTTTAACTAATACTCCATATATACATATCCTCAAAGTGTAAATTTACTTGGTAATCTGTATGTATAAACATTTGACATCTAGCCCAGAAACTTGAATTAGTTTCTGTCTTCTTTGGCTGCATATTGATTCCATTTCCTTATACTTGTCAACCCACACACTGTAATGTTAAAACACTACAACGGGCACCAGGGTGGCTCCATCAATTAAGCGTCCAACTTCCAATCAGGTCATGGTCTCCTGGTCCATGGGTTTGAGCCCTGCTTCCAGCTCTATGCTGACAGCTCAGAGCCTGGAGCCTACTTTGTATTCTGTCTCTCTAGCTCTCTCGCTCTCACGCTCTCTATGCCCCTCCCCCGCTCAGGTGTGCGCACGCTCTCTCTCAAAAATAAACATTAAAAAAAATTTTAAGCACTAAAACATGTACTTATTTTCATATTTATATCTCAGTATATATTGCATAGTGTGATACCAAGCCAGTCCAGAATCATTTAACTGTTTTCCAAACCTTTGGATTTGCACTACTAAGTGAAAGATCATAGGGATGTATATATGCATTTGTATTTAAGAATTGAAGTACATTCCATCCTATTCTCACATTTTATAAACAAGGAAACTGGGGTCCTTAAAAGTCACGTTACCTTCCCACAGTCATTGTGCTAATTGGAAGTAGAGTTCAGATGCATTTTCCAATATAGTTCCTGTGCTGTGCATGTAAATATCAAAATGTACCATTTATTGGGCCTACTGCTTTCCCTATAGTAGTTTTCTGCATACCGTTTTCTAAATGCGTGCGTTTGTGGAGCGTGTCTAGGGAGGGCTTTAAAGTGCTATCCATAGCCACCCTTCTTCCTTATAAAGGTTTCAGCAGTTGCTTAAGTGATTGGCTTCTTAGTTCTGGTGGATTTTCTTCTCTTCTTTTTATCCCAGAGTGTCACTGAACCCTGTGTTCCATCAGCAGTGTTTGTTTGCTTTTGTAACAGTAAAGTTGAAGCTGTTACTAACTTACTGACACTCTTTTACAAAAGATGTTCTTGCCCCTATGGCTCAACGTTGCGTCAGTTAGCCTTGAGTTTAGTGAGAGTCTTGTGGTCCTGTCCTGTCATTCCATTTATTGTTTCCCTGAGAGCAGTAACAAACCTTGTTTCTCTCCCAAAAGATCATGGGGTCCTTCAGAGTGAAAAGGAGTAATTCTGAGAGTCCTTAATAGTAAGCAGAATTCTCAGCCTTTCAGTTGCCGGACTCCTTTGTTTAATCCTCCTTTCCCTTGCTGTTGGAATGAAATCAAAGTCCTTACCAAGGCCATTAGGGCCCCACATGCAGACTTGTCTCCCCATCTCTTTAACCTCATTTCTTAACACTCTTCTGCTTATTTAACCCCTGGCATTTCTGGCCCTTTGACCGGCTTCCCCTCCCCCCAGTTTACCTATGTCTTAGTCTGTTTCTATATTATGTTCCTTCCAAAACACTCTTCACTGAGACAGTCACTTAGTTGAATCTACGTCATTCAGCTTTCAGCTCAAATTTACCTCTCAGTCTTTCTCTCATTACATTAAATGAGCACTCTCCCCTAGTACTCTGTATCATAGCCAACTAAAGTGTACTATAGCATGATTAAGGATACAGGGTCTAGAGCTGGTTTGAATCCTGGCTTTTCCACTTACTACCTCAGTAACCCTGGGTGTATATATATATAACGTACACACACACACACACACACACACACACACACACACACACTCTCAAGGAGCTTTCAGTCTAATTAAAGGAGACAAATATGTAAACAAATGCATAGGACAGTATAAGTAAAACAAAAATATATATGAGACCAAGAAGGGAGTAATACTCAAAAAAGAGAATGAACTCTGTTGATATCTGGGAGAGGCTGGGAATTTTCTGGTGGCATTACTTTCATGAGCTGAGTTTTGGAAAAGATAAGTGAAAACATACTAAGTATTAGGCATAGAGTTCTAAGAAAAGAGAACAGCCACGTGTATAGGCATAGATGTCTGAAGTCCCTTGGTATATTTAGAGAACTAGACACAGCCACACATTGTGGGTGTAAATAGTTTAATATAAAAAGTATCCGGAACTGTTGTTTGAGAAGCGAACCAGAGCAAAATTATATATGATAGAATCTTACTTGTAGTTTAGAACACTACCTGTGGCTGCAGTAAAAAGTCCGTTACTACTCCTTTACCCAGCACTCAGATTGTGCACTTACATAGATTGGGGAGTGCTTGTGATCACAGCATCACCAAGGAAGGAAATAAGAAAATACAAGACCTGGGACGCCTGGGTGGCTCAGTCAGTTAAGCGTCCGACTTCAGCTCAGATCATGATCTCACAGTTCATGGGTTCGAGCCCCATGTCGGGCTCTGTGCTGACAGCTAGCTCAGAGCCTGAAGTCTGCTTCAGATTCTGTGTCTCCCTCTCTCTCTGACCCTCCCCTGCTCATGCTGTCTCAATCTCTCTCTCAAAAATAAATAAAACATTAAAAAACATTTCAAAAAAAAAAAAAAGAAAATACAAGACCTTTTCCCATGAATGCTTATATCTTAAAGATAATGACGTAACAATCTATATTCTTTGGCAGTCAGCCGATAAGGTAAGTTTGGTATTTTGTAAATTTTAAGAATATTCTCTAGGACACACAGGGTGTACTAAGGAAATGCCTGTGACGGGACCAAAATTTTCATTAAAAGAACAAAAAAGATTCCTAATGTTTTTTAGAACACTTAAATGAGAGCTTAAGATCCCAAAGTTCGTTTTGTTTTGTTTTTGAGAGAGAGCAAGGGTGCAGGTGAGCAAGAGGCAGAGGGAGGGAGGGAGGGAGAATCCCACAGGGAGGCAGAGAGAGAGAAACAGGGCTCACTCCAGGCAGGCTTGTATTTTACCTGAAGCTGATCTTGATCTCGGGCTCACCGGAAGCAGGGAATGAGATCACTTGAAGTGTGGTTCACGCTCACCCAAACCAGGGCTTAGGCTCACCTGATGTCGGACTTAAACTCACAAAATGTGAGATTGTGACCAGAGCCGAAGTCAGATGCTTAAAGACTGAGCCACACAGGTGCCCAAGATCCCAAAGTTTTAGACTCTGAAATATGGCCATAATTAAATTAACTGTGTTTCTTTAAAAATTTCAGTAAAGAATCCTCAGACTATCTAATTTTAAGTAATAACATTTTTTGGTGAGCCCTTCTAAGACGAATTGGTTCTGCAAATCTTGTTCAATGGTGTTACCTCCTGTAAGAAGTATTTGACTCTAAGCTGATTATATGTTAAAGAACATTTTGCCAAAAATGAGTATTTGGATTTTAGGAAAGTTTATTTTATTTTGGGTGGGTTTTAAAGTATATATGAATTTACCATTTTAACTATTTTAATTGTACAGTTCAGTGACGTTAAATACACTCACATTGTTTTCCAGTTATCACCAAGCACTTTATATCTCCAAAAAGATTTTTGTCTTCCTAAACTGAAACTCCTGTACCCATTAAACAATACCTCCCCATTCCCCTCTTCTCTCAGCCCTTGGCAGCCACCATTCTATTTGCTATCTACGAATTTGACTTCTTTAGATTATATAAGTGGAACCATGGATAATTTGTTCTTTTGTGACTAGCTTATTTCACTTAAGTGTCATTAAGGTTCATCCATGTGGTAGCATGTATCAAAATATCTTTTCTTTTAAAGGCAGAATAATATTCCATTGTATGTGTTTACCACATTTTTATTTATCCATTCTTGTGTGGGTGGACATTGAGGTTGCTTCCATCTTTTGCACGTAATGAGTCCCTGCTTTTGCTTCTTTTGGGCTTATACTAAGAAGTTGAATTATTGAATCATATGGTAATTTTTTTTAATTTTCTTGAAGAACCAGCATCCTGTTTTCCATAACAGCTACACCATTTTACATTCCTACCAACAGTGCACAAGGATTCTGTTTTCTCCACATCCTCCCCAGCCCTAGATATTTTCTGGGTTGTTTTTTGTTTGTTTTTTGATAAAAGCTGTCCTAATTAATGAGTGTGAGGTAGAATCTCATTGCGTTTTTATTTGCATTTCCCTAATGATTAGTGGTGCTGAACATCTTTTCATGTGTTTATTGACTATTTGTTTATTTTCTTAAGTCCTTTGCTAATTATTAAATTGAAATTTCGTTGTTGTTGAATTATAGGAATTCTTTATATATATTCTGGATAGTAACCCCTTACTGGATATATGATTTGCAAGTATGTTCTGTTTTGTGGGTTGCTGTTTCATTCTGTTGATAGTGTCTTTTGATGCACAAGTCTTAAATTTTGATGTAATAGAAGTTACCTATTCTTTTGCTGCTGTGCTTTAGGATTTTTGTTTCTTACCATTCTTTCTAAAGGTAATTAAAAGGGAGGATCATTTGGCTATTAAGGACACTCATACATAGTATTTGATAATAGTGATAATAGCAAATTCTTACCAGTATAGGGAATAATTATCTTTCTGTTCTTAAAAGTGGATGGACAAGCTTCTGGCTGGTTAAGATCCACATTTAAGATGGGATATAAGAAGAAAACAAAATTGATGGTAGTAACTGTTAACTGTGGCTGTTGGTGGTGGACTAGAAGCAAGTATTATAAGAATATTGGTAACCAGGAATCTGTCAGGAAATCTTCCCCACACTGTTTATTTCTCTTCTCCAAAGACACTTCCGAGAGGCATTCTTTGACCATTCTTGTACCTTCCCAAGTTACATTCCTGTTCACTATTATCCCTTTTCCTTTTATTTGTATTCATAACACTTTTTTATGATGAAACATTGTTATTTATTTATCGTCTATCTTTCCGAAGGGCAGAGACTTTTTGTTGTTATTCACTGCTGATTTCCCAGGGCTTAGAACAGTGCTGTTTGAATATTGGATGAATTAACAGAGCAGCCTGTAGAGGAACATTTTATAGTTTTTCTGCCTATAAAAATCTTAAGAAGTTGATGCCGATTCTTGAGGTGAAATGGATGATCCATATGACCCTTCCACTTCCATTCATATGCTTTGTAATATCATTATCTTGTAACAGTAATTAATTCCTATTGTAGTCTCATGTTTTTAGTATTGTGCCATTTATCACATACTTAAAATAGGTTAAATATTTGAGTGCCTATTGTGTGTCAGGCACTGTTTTAACTCATGTGCAGATGTTGAAACATTAACATCTTGGGCTTGATTTAAGTCATTTTTGTACCAAAGTTTTAATAGAGGAAATTTTTTTCATTTGGGGACACCTCAGTGGCTCAGTCGGTTAAGCTTCTGACTCTTGATTTCGGCTCAGGTTGTGATCTCATGGTTCATGAGTTTGAGCCCCACATCAGGCGCTGCGCTGATAGCACAGAGCCTGCTTTGGATTCTCTCCCTCCCTCTCTGTTCCTCCCCTCCTTATGTGCTCTCTCTCTCTCTCTCTCTCTCTCTCTCTCTCTCTCTCAAAATAAATTAAAAAAAATATATATATATATATGGAATGGAATTCATGAATCAAGTTATATTTATAAAAGAACATTAGCCTAATTTTTACCTTAGATTTAACCTAATGTGAACTTTTTCCAGATATTTTCTAAATTTGGCACAGTCTTGAAGATTATCACCTTTACAAAGAATAACCAGTTTCAAGCCTTGCTTCAGTATGCTGACCCAGTGAATGCACATTATGCCAAAATGGTAATTATGATCTTTTTTCATTTTTCATTTGTTAATCAGTCTTCAGTGATGCCAGAGAATGCCATCATGTCTTCTTCCTTGCTGCAGTTTACCGTGTGTTTTTAATTGTAGTAAGATATACATAATGTAAAATTTATTTCTTTTAAATGTACTATTCCATAGGCTTTTTAAAATAATAAGCTGAAGATTACTTTCTTCATGTGAAATGTTTCAAATCATTTATCACTTCTCAGATCTTTGGGACTCATTTCTGTCATATTTTTAAAGTTTAGAAGCGGAGCACAGTATTCCTGATAAAATCTGAATAATATAGTAGAATTATCTTTTTTCTTATATCTTCATTTTTATTCAGTCGCCTGAAGATTGTATTTTTGTAACCATATTCACTACTGAATTTTGTTGAGCTCTGATTTGGTGAAGATCCTACACTGTAGGAAGTTTTCTCTTGTTGGTTTATATTGTCTTTACTACATGAGTGCTTGACTTTTGATAAGTAGAAAATTTGGTATTCAATTTGATTATATTTGACTCATCTCCTATTGAGATCTTTTCCTAACCCGAATTCTGTCTTGTATCAGGATCTGAATTATTTCTAATTTCTTTTCAAGGATCGGGACAGTGTGAGGTACACACTGTCTGCCTCTTGATTAGGAATATGGACTTTATATTTGCTGTACTCTTTGCCTGCATATATTATTTGGTACCTCTATGATGATGTACTCATCAATAACTGTTTATAAGTCAATGTTTTTTGTATATTTGCATTTTTCGTGTGTTTTGGTTTCTGGTATCTTTTTATAAACTTGAGCATTTGTGGAAGTCAAGTAGCTGTGTATATCCCTTTGATAAGTTTTCATTATTGTGAAGGGGGAAGAATTACTGATCTTTGGTCTTATATCAGAACTGACTGCAAAATTTCCCTATTTATTATTCAGAGTACTATAAAATAAGTTTTCAAGAGAAAAAAATACATTTACAAAGCTTTTAGTTCATCTTAAACTATGTAAAGTGTGCTAAAGAAATAAGATGAAAATATAAAATCAGGTCATCTTTAAACATTTGTTGTGGACAAAATAATCATAATGATAGCTAGTGCTGTGCTCAATAATGTGTGAGTTTTCCAAGCTTTTACATTTCTCTCCTTTCATTTGATCTTACCATAGACAAGAAAGAGATTATTATGACATTGTAGAAAACCTGAAAGAGTTTCTTTTTCTGTCTTATGTTCACACAGTGAGAGAGGTAAAAGTAAACACAGGTCTTTGACTTTTAGTCCATTGCTCTCTGCTTTACGCCTGATTGCCACCCTGTGTCAAAGTAGAGGCTACTTGATTTATCAGTGTTATCTTGCAAAACATCAGTCCCTTTCTTACATGCTTTAGGCTCTGGATGGCCAGAATATCTATAATGCATGCTGCACTCTGCGTATTGACTTCTCCAAGCTCACCAGCCTTAATGTGAAATATAATAATGACAAAAGCAGAGACTTCACTCGTTTAGACCTTCCTACCGGTGATGGCCAGCCATCCCTTGAACCCCCTATGGCTGCTGCTTTTGGTGAGTAGTTCCATTTTGAGTCACAAAGCAAGTTTTCTGAAGCTGTAAGTTGTATTTATTAATCTGTGTATATCGGCCTTTTTCTTCTTGGATTCTCTCAGGATTTCTAAAGAAAAGAAAAAATCTTGGAACAAAATGTGTCTCTTAATTAAATCTTAATATTAATAGATCCTATTAGTTGGCAAAACAAATGAGTATCTGAAATCAAGTTAAAAATTTATTTTCTAACATTAATCTTACTCATTTTTTATAATCCGTACAACCATTTGCTTCAAATTAATACTTTCACGTTAACATTGCTTTAAATGTGCTGACGTATAGCCACAGAATATTGGTATATGTGTTCTTGAGAGAAATACTGTTTCCTTTTTGAAGTAGTGATATTTTATTTATTTTTAAATGTTTTTTATTTTTAACATATAAAAGAGAGAGAGTGAGTGAGCAGGAGAGGGGCAGAGAGAGAGGGAGACAGAATCCCAAGCAGGCTCCATGCTGTCACTGCAGAGCCCGATGCGGGGTTCAGACCCATGAACCATGAGATCATTAATTACCTGAGCTGAAACCAAGAGTCGGACGCTTAACCAACTGAGCCACCCCGGTGCCCCTGAAGTAGTGACATTTTTAAAAAGGGCCTAAATTAGTGGTATGTTCTTCCTCTGTTCAAAGAAGGGGATTTGTTTTGTTTTTTAAAAATCAGAACTCCCATCTGTACCTTAAGTTGGTGTGAAGTTGTATTTTTGCATTACTGAAAATACAACCTTCTGAGTTATCCCTACAAATGTTGCTTTGAAGGGCTTTTTTATTTCTAATTTGTTACCAATATATTTATACTTTTAAAACAACTCTTTATGTAAAGGAAGAAGCAGGGGATGGCCCAGTTGGGTATATCATAGGTTGATGTATGCTGCTTTTAGGTTTTGCAGCCCTCAAAGGTGTGATTTGTTATCTAGATAAAGTATTAAGTTTTATTACCTTTCATGATTAGTTTTCCTTTCCCAGATGACACCATAAAATATTGCTCATTGAGACCTTAAGTGATATTTAGTCCTTATTTATTTTACAGGTGAGAAAAATGAATCCTTAGACAAATGTCCAACATTTTCTGGAGAATAGTTTGTAACTTTATTTTAAAGTAGAATTTTTTTATTATTTGTAATTGAGAAAGCCAAATGAATTGTTCAGTTCATGTTCCTAAATTGTTAATGTTTCTGTCTTGGTCTAACCAAATATTTGTTTTATATTTGTTACGAGCCTCTACTTACATGTCCGATTTGGCAGAGCCAGAGGTCTTTGTAATTACAATTTCAAGAACATATGATAGAAATTGAGGCTGTCGTTCAAGTTTACCAAAACTTTGCTATCAAATGCAGAACTGCACTAATTCCAGTAACTGAATATATACTATTGATGTAATTAATTATACTTTGTGGTAGGAGGACATTTTTAAAATATGATCAAGAATTTTGGTTTCTGAACATAAAATAACAGAGTAGTAACATCCTTTTTCATCGTTTTAATAAATCCTTAGTAATTGCAAAGTAATGTCTACATCTTAAAGAGAACTGATTCATCAACAGAGAACAATACTTTTTTGCATATTATGTGAAAGTTTACCCTGCCTCTTGCTAATATTTAACACAATTCACTATTCCCTTCTTTTTTCTCTTGGCTTGTACAATACCACTCTCCTGACTTTTTCCTACCTCACTATCTTTTCTTTCTTTTTTAAAGGTTCTTTACTGTTCCTAGGGTTAAGTCATAAGCACTCTCTCCCTGTTTTTAGTGATACATATTATACTTTTAGAAAATCTTCTAAAATATGCAAATATATATTTTAACACCCATGTAGTTATCATCCAGATTAAGAAATAATATATTTATACATCCTGAAGAAGCAATCTTTGTAGCCCTCTCATTGATTATGTTCCTTCCTTTTCTCTGACAAGATGATCAGTCTCAAATTTGATGATATTCTTTCTTTGCTTTAATGCCCTTTCCTTGTATATGTTTTTCTTACCACTCATTATGCAACCCTAAGTGTTAATTTAAACATTTTTTCTTCTTTATTTAGAATTTTATGTAAATGGCATCATGCTCTTCATTTTCTTTTGTGACTTGTGATTCATCCATATTTATATACTCGTCCTCAGTACCATCAAGTGTATAGATATCCATTGTATGAATATGCCACAGTTTGTTTACCCATTGTATTGTTGATAGTCATTTGGGTTGTTTTAGTTTGAGGTCATTATGGACCATGCTGCAGTGAAACATCCCTGATTACCCATGAGGTTAAACATATCTTTATTTATCAGCCATTCTCCTTTTATGAATTTACTGTTTTAACTTTTTTACCTATTTTTGTGTTTGGTGTCTTGTTTTTTCCTTTTTCTTTTTTTTGTGGGAATTATTCTTCTATATATCCCACACATTAGTCCTTTGTTGGCTACCTGTGTTTGAGATAGTTTCTTCCATTTTTGGGTTATTGGTTTATTCTTGTTATGGTATTTTTATTTAGTCAAATTTATTTGCCATTTCCTTTATATTTCTGTTTTTTTGTGTCTTATTTAAGAATTCCTTTGTTTCCCTGACGTCATAAAGATACATATTTAAATTCTAAAGTCTATATAGTATTTTAGGGGCGCTTGGGTGGCTTAGTTGGTTAAGCATTCACCTCTTAGTTTCACCTCAGGTCATGATCTCGTAGTTGTGAGTTCAACCAGTTGTGAGTTCGACCGTGCTGATGATGCAGAGCCTGCTTGGGATTCTCTGTCTCCGTCTCTGCCCCTCCCCCACCTGCGCTGTCTCTCTCTCTCTCAAAATAAATAAACTTTATAGTATTTTAGTAACTTTATTTTGAAATAATTTAAGTTGTAAGATTAGTACAAAGAATTCCCTTGTATCTAGAATCATCCAAGATTCCTCAGTTAACATCATGCCACATTTACTTCATCTCTCTGATTACACTGAAGAAGTGGGTAGTTTTTTCTTTTTCCCCTTAATTATTGGAGAGTTAGTTGCAAGTATGATGCCTCTTTACCTCTGGATACTCAGGGTATATTTTCTAAGAACAAGAACATTCTTACTGAACACAGTTCACTTATCAAAATCAGGAAATAAATATTTATATGATACTATTATCTAATCCATAGACCTTTTAGAAATTTGCCTGTTCCAAAAGTTATGTTCTTTATAAGAGAATTTTTTCTGGTAAAGACCCAAACCAGTATCAGGCTAATTTATTTGGCACATCTTTAGAGTCTTTAATTTGGAACATTTCTTCATTCTTTGTCTTTCATGATATTTGCATTGGTGAAGATTTCAGGTTGGGTATTTCATAGAATGTTCTCAATATAAATGTCTGTTTTTTTTGGCTAAAACAGTGTTGTGTCTTTCTCAGTTGGTTACATCAGGAGACACAAGATGCCAGTTTATCTAATCCCTGATGATACTAACTTTGATCACTTATTAAGGTGGTTTCTGCCAAGTTTCTTCCCAGTAAAGTTACTGTTTTTCTCCATAATTAATTTGCAGGGTGATACATTGACACTGTATAAATAATCCTGTTCCTTATCACTTTTCACTCTTGAATTTTATCATCTATTGCCAAATATTGTTGTTACTATGATGGTTACCTTATTGGAGATTGTTAATCCATCATTCCTTCAATGCTTATTAGCTGGAATTTTATTGTAAAGGACTTTTTTTTACCACCACTCCCTTCATTTATTAATTCATTCATTTTGAATAAATTTGACCTCTAACGTTGTGTGAATTTAAGGTGTGTAACACATTACTTTGATACATTTATATATAATATTGTCTGTCTAAATTCATTACACTGTGCTTTAGGTCTCTATGCTTATATATTACTCATTTATTTCTTTTGTCGGTGTGGTCTTATAGATTCTTATTCTGATCAATGGGTCTTATGCTATAATTTTTCATTTTATGTTCAACCTGTCTGAGGTTGGCCAGTGGGAGCCCTTTCACACTGATTTCTGTGGCCCTTTGACATGTCCCCATTATCATTTGAACATTTCCTAACTTTCTGGCTGAAGGTATTTCAGCTCTTCTTTACTTTCCTTGCCTTAGTGCTGCAATCGGCTACTTTTCCAGTGAGACCTGGTTCCTTTTAGTGGGAAACGTTTTTTTGAAATCAATATCCAGGCATTAGATGTACTCATTATTAATAGGAACATCGTTGCTTCTAGGCACTTTAAATGAACATTACTGGGATACATGTGTATGTGTACATCATAAATATATTTCTCTGTGTGTGCTTCATAAATATATGTCTGTGGGTGGTTAAAAACCCACTACTAATACCTCCAGTTCCAATCCTGCACCCTTTTCATGGTGTTACCTCTCTGCTTCAAGAATGAGATACTTAGTTTCTGTTAGCTTCAATTTGTTTACTTATTTGCTCAATCTTACACAAAGCGTGGTTTTAGAGTTGTTAACACATAGCATTAACTTCAGCTGAATATTCGTTGAAGTAGTTTCGTGGGAGTTATTAATGAGTCTGTTAGTCAGTCTCTCCTTTCATCATCACCACAAGTCTCAATACCTGATGGAATAAATCGTTTTACCTTATTCTTCAAGAGTGTCTGCAATTCTTCATTATTTTGCCTATGAATTTTAGGGTCCGCTTGTCACATCCTCAAGGAAAAAAACTATTAGAGTTTTGGTTAGATTGCATTGACTTTCTAAATCACTTACAAGATAATTGACATCTTTACAATGGAGTCTCCCAGTCTTTGAACATTGTACATCTCTTAATTTTTTTTAATGTTCCTTAATGTCTTTCCAGAGAGTTTGGTGACTTTCGGTGTCTCCATAAACATTTGCATGCTTTCTTATATTTATTCCTCAGAACCATACTTTTAAAATGCATATCTTAGAGAGAAGGAGTGCAAGCAGGGGAAGGGCAGAGAAGAGAGACATACAGAATCTGAAGCAGGCGCCAAGCTCTGATATGTCAGCAAAGAGCCCAACGT